AGGAGAGAGAAAATGAATCTGTTCATCAGCTATGCACATTTTGCTTGTTCACACTGTTCATTATTGTTGATTATTCGCATATAATTGCTGTTGGTATATGTAGTCATTTCGACATGAGTTGCAAAGATGATATGTGCTACCGCTGATACCTACACAAACCCAACATAGAACACCATTACATTGATTACAATTTCCAATGACATCCCAAGGCCATATTGCTCTGATACACTGTTGACATTGTTGCGTAGGTAACGATGATAAATGTTGTAATGGCTGAAACGACTGATTATTTGGCTGCGGTGAGAATGCCATTGTAAAATCAGTGGGCGGTTGCACCAATGAAACGGTTTGATCACCAGTGGATTGCATGTCGACATCATTTGAATTTTCTGCCAACACATCGAACGACGTGTGCTGTTTTCGTCTTTTTGTTGCTTTCTTGGTGGTGGGTGTTGTTGTGGCTTTTTTCGACTGCTTATCGTTCTTCATTTTCTGTTTGATTGCGATTAGAGCATACTCATCTAAATCTGTTACACTTTTGCCGTTTATCCCTGATATCAGACGCTTCTTCGTGGTTGTCGCCTTTGGTGGAGTAAAATGTTTTTCCACGATTGCTTCGATAGCAGCCAACGATTTATCTAGGCAGAAAGAGTTTGTTCAACCGATTCATTGCGATTTAAGCTGAGAACTTACCTGTTGAAGTTAGTAATGGGGTTTTGTCCAAGAGTAATTCCGACAGACTGGAGCGTAAGGGACCAGTTGGACTATGAATTGTGATCGATGTTTGATCACAAACAATTGAACTTCGTGTTATCGATGTTGGGGAGGAGACGTCTACACTATTCAAATTGTTTACTGCAAATTGTTTATCTCGATATTGACTTCCAACTGCATCATTGGTACCTGTAATAAAATAATATTGAGAGAGCATCGCGTTTTGTTTCAGTCGAGCCTACCAGAAAATAAGGCCGGATCCGATGGATATTTGACTAACCGGCGACGCTGAGTTGATGTCAAGGGTGCTGTTAAAATTGTCGTTTGATTATCGGGATAGTC